AAGTTCTGAAAACGTGGAACTGTGGGCTTTTTTTCATTCCTTTTTCTTCTTTGCTCTACAGATGTAGAACATTATAGAGTTACTGTATTGGTTTTCACAAAATATAATCTTTAAACTTTAAGCATCTCAGTGTTCTCTGGATTCCAATCATGGATCCACCACTTACTAGCTCTGTAGCTTCAGGCAGATAATTCAGCATTTTAAATCTCTTTCTTCATCCACAGTATGGGTTTTTGGTGGGGATTAAATGAGTTTATACAAGAAAACCTGGCAAGCTGTAAATTCTCCATAACTGTCAATCAACTACCACCACTACTGCTATTATTACTACTGCTGCTGATACAAATTCTACTATTACTATATCTGCAGATGCAAATACTGTTACTCCTACATCTGCTGACAGAAATACCACTATTACTACTACTGCAGGGACAAATGCTATAGTGATGGCTCCTAAATCCATCAGTGACTGCAGTCTTCCCTAAAAAAGATTGTTCTCAGTCCAGATGTCTACACATGACTGCTAACTGTTTGCAGGATCATATCTTAATTCTCACCTAAACATGCCTGAGAAGTTTCTCTGGTCACCTGCTGCCTGCCCATTCTGTCTTCATAGTTGATTACTGGAGAACCCAGCCTTCATGTTTGCTCAGGATGGTCCAGGTCTGTCTCTCTCTGGGTAGAGTTAGTATTAATAGCTTCCCTTTCCTCCTCAAAAGTGTCCTGTTTTACGTGCTGCATTTATATGGCCACCCTACTTATTTCACATTTGTTTGATTTTCTGCACTAGCCAGGAAACCCATAGTTCACTTGCTCTCACCTTCAAGCTATTTCCCTTGCCTGGAATGCTGTTCCCGTACCATTGCCAAATCATGAATTTTGCCGTCAAAAATCCTACTCGGAACTCACCCTCCCATTGGAACTTTCTCTGATATTCCTGCCTTCCTCCCAATCCAGAAAGCTCTCAGCAATCATGTAAATAACTCTGTATAACTTCAATTGGCTCTGTTTTAAGATACCTCCTATATCTTTTTTCCCCCTCTAGGTGTTTTTTCATGTGTGTATTCTGTCTCCATTTGTAAACTCCCAGAGGGCGAGGCCTGAACACAGGCTGGTGTTGGCACAAAGTGGATGAATAGTTAGAGTCCAGCTGCAGAGGACACTGCAAGCCTTCGTGATTACAAATCTGTTAAAAAAAAAAAACTCTTTGTTAGTGCTTTGTGATGGTCCTGAGACTGCTAATTTAACGTAAAAATACATCCAGGTTCTGCCAGTGTCCAGTTAAGATAAAATCAACAGTTACAAGTTTTCCATAATGTGAAGGAGAGAGTGTGAGATAATCTGATGTAAGAAAGGTATGTGAAAGGCATTATGGAGTTCATTTTCTTCAGAGGTGTATTCTTGTCTCTTCAAGGCTGCAGGTCTTTCTCAGAAGGGAAATAATACTTTCAAAACTGAGAACTAAACACCAAACAAAAAGCCTCAGAAATCATACAATACCACCTTGGTCTAAGTTTGTGCTAAGAGGAGGGAAAATGAATCTAATTTAGAAGGCCTCCTTTTTTGTGTCTAACAGAAAATACCACAGGGTCCAGCTCTCCAGGATTATTAGACAGGTGGATTGTTCATTTCACTCCAGGTAACAAAGGGAAGCTGGGCAAACGCTGCTCTCTCACTGCGGGAGTAGGAAGTGGGAATCCTTCACCTTGACCACCTGCTTCCTTCTCTTCAATCAGCACACGAAGTGCCAAGTATCTGTGCAGGCTTCTCGGCGCAGAGCCCACGGTGTGCCCGACGTAGGCGGTGCACTAGATAACTTCAAAGCCCCAGGCAGGGGCCAGAAAAGGGGGGGCGAAAGCAGCCCAGGGAATGAAGCGCCTCCCCCTCGCGTTTCCTCTCACGCCCACTTCCAACCTAGGAGGCTTTTGGTTTCTGCTTTTGCTGTTTTTAAAATTAAAAGTTAAATCAAGGAAGCTTTGGGTCGGACTTTTGCGTTGCAGTTCGGGTAAGTTTTCTCTTGGTTCTTTTGTCTGGCGCCTAGTTTGGGAATAACCGAGGCGTGGGGCAGAGCTGGCACGGCGTGCTGGGAAGGTTTTGTCCCTGGGTCGCCCGGAGGAGGAGGGGATTCGGCCGGTGGACGGGAAAGCCCGGCGCGCGCGGAGGGCGGAGGGCGGAGGGGAGGGACAGGCGGCGGCGTGACCCGGCGGCCGGCGGGGAGGAACCTCCGGGATCTCCGCGTGGCGGTGGCGCTGCCGGGCCGCGCGCAGGGCGGAGGGCCGGGGCCGCGCCAGGGGGGAGCCCGAGCCGAGCCGGGCCGGGAGGCCGCGTGGGAACCGAGGCTGGGGACGCCGGGGCAGCGGCGGCCGAAGTTGACGACGAAGCCCCCAGTGAACTTGTGTTCTCCCAGATCTGCTCAGCAAGAAAAATGTGTGTAGAGCCTGTCAGTGACACTGCCCCCCCTTGAACCCCACTCCCGCCTGGAGCTGGGTTCCAAAGGGGTTCTCACGGCCCGTGGAGGTGCAGCTAGAGAGAAATGGGCCCCAGGGAGCACCCTCCCCCACTTTTTCATCAGAGTCCGGTCACCTCCCCCATTTTTCCAAAATTTTTGACAGTTTAAATTGCTATTTACCATACACATTTATTTTATGTTTAGAATTTTTTTTCCCACGTTCCGATGCAATTTGAGAAACTAACTTGCCACAAAACAAGTAAGCCAAAACTAGCTACTTTATAGTTTAGCTGGGTTTTCCTGCATTCTGGTAACTAGGCAATTTAGAACTGTAGGCAGACTTAGGCAAAGCAATTGCATTTAGAAAATTCAAAACTAGAAAATAAGAAAACTACTCGGTACTGTATATATATTTGAAAGAAAAGTTTAATAATGATTTGCCACTCAAGAAAGTTAAATTGTGAGTAGCCTATTTAAGAAAAAAGTTCTTTAACAAATTGAAACGACAAAATTCATCTATTATGACTCTAGATTGCATATTTAATTTGTTAGAAAGTTCACAATGTCAAATCCCATACATTGTGTTTGTTCACAGTATGTATTTTGTATAACAATCCTGGGTTAAAAATATTCGTTAATTTAGCATTTTAGACTTAGCAAGTGACGCAAAGTAGAATTAATGATTATCAATTACCTTAATCTTCATTCTCTGACAGATTGGGTATACTTTCCTATCTAACTGAATGTCTTTTTTATTCCAATACCCTGTTGGGAAGTTACATTACATGCTTTTTGTGATTGCAGTCTATTAGACACCATTTCATTTTATAAGAGAGAGATGATTTTATCACATCGAAAATAAAGTGCATTATATCATTACAACTTTGGATCCATAATATGCTAAACATTATTTTAAGTGTAGGCAGTTGTTGGATGACCTTTTGCTCTTAGGACCAAATTAGTTTTCAATAGTCGTATTCCCCCCGTACATGATACTATTTCTGGTTACAAGCTCCCCATTATTGAATATTCCATTTTTAATCATTCCCCTTCTGGTGCGTTTCTTAGTTCAAATGAGCTCGAGGTAGGATTTCCTCAGGGGAATTTTAGGGATCAACCCTAGCAGGAAAAACCTAGACGTCTTATGGAAGCCCCAGGGAGCAAAATAGTTTGAGTTTGCACAGATGGCCAACGTAGTGGGTGTACGGTCGTTTAACATTTTTATTCCTTAAAAGGGGAAAACAGTTTGGTTTAATCTGAGAATTTTTTCTGCATCAGAATTTTTGTTGTGCTTTATTCCGAAGTTCAGCGTGGCTCCTTAAACCAATCACTTTTGCCTGCTTCTGTAGTTGTACATGTGGAGTTCCTGAACCCCAGATTTCTAACATTCTTTTAGGTCTAACCCTGAAAACCGTCGCTACCTTAATCCAGCCTCTATAGATTTCCACTTGCTTCCTCTACTGCTTTCTAGCAGCTGGGGTCAAACTCTGGTTTATGGTAATTACTCCCTCTTCCCCCTTTCCTCCCGGCGTCCCTGGAGCCTGGTCCGCTGCCGAGCCCCGCACCACCCTTTCCGAACCCCAACCCCCCTCCCCTCCCTACCCCAAGCTGTCAAGCGGACCGGCAGGGGTTAACTACGCGCGCAGCTCCGGTCCTGGGAACCACCACCAGGCTTTGGAGAGGCCTCAGGAATAACCTTGGCTTTCCTCAATCTTTTAATAGAACAACCGCCACCAAAAAGTGGTTTCAGTTCAGGGTTAATAATATGTCCCCTTCACCCTCCAAACCAATATCCCGCCCCACTCCCTTTTTTTTTTAAGTTGTTTTTCAAAGTTAATGAGTTTCAAGTTTCACAATGACTCTCCCTTTCCTCATCACGTTGCTGAGGAAACCCCCTTGGGGTCCCCCCTCCCTTCCCCTTTCCCCTCCCCCTGGCGTCCCGGGCGGGGGGCGGGGCTGGGGGACCCCATGACGTCACCGGGCCGGCCCACATCCTGCTTTAGAAAGTAAAGAGACGGTAAAGAGAAACTACCGCCCTGCCGGTCGCCGCCCCTCTTCCCGGACCAACCGCCCCCAGCTGCGCGACCCGGCCTGGCCTTCCCCGGGCCGCGTGATCTGCCGGGCCCGCCCTCCGCCCCCGCCCCCGCCCCTGCCCGGCGCCAGTCACCCAGCCGGCGCGACCCCGGGCTCCCGCCCCGCGCGTCCCTAACCCCGCCCCGCCCCCTCGGGCCCGGCGGCCGCCTCCTTCCGTCCCCCTCCCGTCCCTGCGGCGGCCGGGCGGGGCGGAGCCGCGGGCCGCCGGCGGGGGTAGGCGGGCTGAGGACCCGCCCCGCCGGGGACACCCGGGGCTCCGGCCTCCGAGCGAACCCCGATCCGGAGCACCCACCCCACCCCTTCCCGCGCAGGGCTGGCGACCTCGCCGTCCCGACCGGGACGCGTGCTGGGGGTGACCCCTGCCACTCTCCCCGCGAGGCCGCAGCCTCTGTCCCGCGGGGAACGCTCCCTCCCCCTACCGCGCGTCGCGGCCTCCCCGCCTCCCGCCCCCGGGGATCCCCTGCCGCCCCGCCCACCCGCGGGAAAGCCTCGGACCTTCGCCCGCCCTCCCCGAGGCCGTCCGGCCCGCTCTCCTCCCGTCGCCCCTAAAGACGCGAAACGTGCCCTACTCTGCCCCGGGGAGAGGTAAAGCCCGCGCCCGCCCTCCTTGCCGGGGCCCCGCGGCCCCCGGGTCCGCTCGCCCAGCCTCAACGCGGTGCTCGTCCACGGCCTCGCCGCCCAGCCCCCGGCCCCTCGTACGCCCCTTCCTCGGCCGGGACGGTCATGCCGCGGTCCGGGGCGTCGGCGAGCACGGCCGCCTCCCCCGCCTAGTGTCTGAGGCCCCCGCCAGGGCGCTTCGCACCCCCCACGCGCCCCTCGGCCGGCTCCCCTGTTTAATATTTCAGTGCTGGGTGGTGTGAGCGCCAGTCGCCGGCCTTTAGGGTGGCTGCTGCCGAGGCGGCGGCGGCGCGGGGGGTGCTGGAGCCCGGGGACCGGGAGCAGCAGCAGGAAGAGGTTATGTTTGTGTTTGGGGTTGTCAAGTGAAGGAGGGATCCCAGGCGCCGCCGCCTCCGCCGCCGCCGCCGCCGCCGCGCCGGGGGTCGCGGAGATTTCGAGCTGCGGCTGCCGCCATCAGCAGCGCAGCTCCAGGGCCGGCTGCAGCGGCAGCGGCTCCGCCGGGCGTCCTGGCAGCAGGTTGGGCGCGGGCTCCACGGCAGAGGAGCAGTAGGGGGGGGGGGGCCGGACCGCATACCCTCCGCGCGCGGGGGGCGTGCAGGCGCGCGCGCGTGTGTGTGCTGGTGTCTATGTGTGTGTGCGTGTGTGTGCAATCGCCGACCTTGCAGAGGGGGATGGCTGCGTGCGGGGACACTTGCCACTTCTGGGCGCCCTCGCTGCGCACGAGCTGCCCGAGCTGCGGTCCTACGAGCCGAGCAGGTAGGGAAGGACCCAGCTTCCCCACCCGCGTTCCAGCCGCAAACGCATTTTGCGAGAGGGTGGGGGGTGAGGGAGACCAGGCCTCGGCTTCCCAACCTCCGGGCTTTGTGGCTTTCTTTTCCTTTCGTTCTTTGCTTTAAGTGCCTGTTTACTCCCAGCCACCTGGGTAGTTTCTTTCCGGGTTGGGAGTAAGCGTCCGCAGCAGTTGGGAAGTGGGCGGTGGGTTTGGGCGCGGGTCGGCTCCGGCTCGCCTTGGGGTCGGGCTGGGGAAGGAGTTGCAGCTGGAGAGGGGAGGGGGCGGTGGCGGAGCTGGCGGCGAGGAGGAGTCTGGCTGCCGCGCTCGCCTCATCTCGTCCTTCTGCTCTCCGCAACCACTCCGGGCTCCTGCCTGAGCTGGCACTTCCATTCCCCCCTCCTCCTGGCATGCGAAGCGCTTTGTTCAGTGCAGCGTTGCAGAGGGGTTTTCCCAGGCTCCGCCCTCCACATTCATTCATGTTTTTTCTCCTTGCCACTGTCTTTACGCTTTTTGATCGTGTCATTATTTTGCTCCCTGTAGTATTTCTTTCCTGCCTGTGAAGGAACGACTAATCACCCTTCCTAGTCCCTACGATGCTGCTGCTTTTGAAAATACCTCCCCCCAACGAGGATATAAACACGGGATGGACAGCTAAGGACAGTGGGTAGGCAGAGAACAGGGTAGCAGAAAGCTGTTACTGATTGGGAGTTTACATTTTTTCTCCTGGTTTTACGGGATCACGTGATTGTATTACCTTCGGAGTTCACGCTTTAAAAACTTACAAATTTCGTGGCCGTTTAAAAGCTTTACGTTTAATAAGGTATGTAGTTAAGCATTCATACAATTTATTTGGACCTAACGTCCCTAAATTCTCTATTGAATCAGAAGTTCCGTGAATCGGATGGTCGTTTTTAATGCAGCAAGTTGAGAAATCATCTTGTATAGCTCATTTAACAAGTTCTAGATGGAATACATAGTATTGGACCATATTTCATATTCTTCCCCATGCAGTTAAAAACATTACAAGTATTTTTTGTGCAGTGCCCATATATAGGCGTATTGGGATAAAATACTGAAGTTAATTGTAGTCTTCCCTTCAATTTTTTTCTCTGCTATGAAACCATAAATTTCTAAAACCTAATGCTGAGATATTAGTCTTTCCCATGTATGCTTTGTTAAGGAGAATTAGTTTTTGAGTATTTCTGTATTCCAGTCAGTGAACAAAGCATCTGCATTTAGTCCTTATAACAACCCTGTGATGGTTGCTATTGCCTAGTTTTACTGTTGGGAAATCTGATCTTCAGAGAGGCTGTGTACCTTGAACAAGGCCACATAGTAAGTGGTCATACCTGACTTTGAACTCAGTCTGACTATATATTTTGACACCAAAATATATAGTCGTGACTTGTGCTATATATACATACATACACACATACAGATATATATATATAGCTTTTGAATAAATCCCCAAGAGTAGGTATCTCCAGTGAGGAAATGAGCACTGCAAATAACTGAGGCTCCTTGTGCCACATTACTTGGTTGCTGACCATAGGCAGGCCACTTAATCTCTCCCTGTCTTAATTTTCTTATCTGTAAAATGTGTAAATGATAGCTACCTTACCATCTATAATTAGGATTAAATTAGGCAATGTGTAGACAGTACATAGGCACACACAGTAGGTGCTTAGTAAGTATTGTTTTCTTCTGCAGTACTGGATATAAAAAGCTTTAAACAGCATTCCTATTTCATTTTTGTGTCTTTGCTTAGTGATTAAACAATTTCATCTATTAACATCATTATAACGGTCTTTGCTTATCAGCTTTATTGCAGGGAGTTAACACTAAAATTTTAGTTTTAAAAATCTTAAATTTAGCTCTAATATCTTTGAGGATCTTGTGGAAGAGGAGACTGAGCTGACTGATTGGGGTAGAGAGTTTTGTTAGGTTTGGAGTCTTACTGTTTTGGCATAGATCACTGCTTTTCCAATGTACAAGTCAGGACAGACTAAGTTATGTTGTAGTAACAAATAACTCCCAAACCTCAGCCACTTAAAACAACAAAGGTCTCTGTTTTGTTTATGCTTCATCATCAAGTTGGGTTAGCAGGAGCTCAGCTCTGTATTGTCAGACTTGCTGTCTCGGACAGTGCCTGTCCCATGGCAGAGGGAAGGAGAGCTCAGGAGTGTCTTGCTTTGATAACTAAGTACTCTAACTTGCAACTGATGCACCTCTGCTCACAGGTCCTTAGCCAAAATTGGTCACACATTGTAGCTAAACACAGGGAGGCAGAAAGTGCAGTCCTATCACAGCCTAGAAGAGAGATCTGGAATCACTGGGGAGCAGCCACAATAGCAACCACTTACTTAACTCAGTAAAACAAGATGAATGAGACATGGTCCCTGTCCCCAAAGAGCTTATCAGTGGACAGACGTGCACTATATACAGCATGACCCTTTATAGCCTGATGCTGTACTTTAATTACACCTGGTAATGTTACTTTAAAACACAATTTAGTGAAATCTCAATCTTTGAAGGTGGTACAGTGATTTTTTGTTTTTATTTTTCCTAATGAGAAAGCCCAGATAGTGGCAAAATGATGTAACCTGTGTTTAATTAAAAGTTAGGAAGTAATCTTTTGCAGTGGTCTCCAGCTTGGGTACCTTTTGTTGAGTTTAGGTTAGTTTTGTACTGAGCCGTAACTTCTGAAGTGTCTTTTTCTTTTAAAGGTAGTAAAATGTGATTTTTTTCCCCCATTTTTAGATCATGGATTAATTGATGAACAATGAGTTGATGGAGCTACCTTTTTGTAACCTGCTCTTCCTACAGCTTCTAAGAAGAAAAAGGATCTCTTGAGAATCAAAGAAAATGCCTCGAACTAAACAGATTCATCCCAGGAATCTACGAGGTAAGGCTCTGCATTAAATAGAAGTAAGGTTTACAATAAATCTTATAATAAAGTACCTCTGTTCCATGGTGAGCTCCCAGTATGCTGGTTCCATTTCTCTTGTTCACTTCTACTCACCCTACATAATTCCTGTCTCTCAGGAAATTCTGAATAAATATTAGTTGAATGAATTAATTGAATATGACCATTTTATAATGCCTTCCTAACCATTAGTGTGGATATTAAAACCTGAGATTTACTATCTCTCAGCAGGGACTGTGTTTGGATCAAAGAACCTGAGATGAACAGTTGAATATTCTTTGCCAACTAGATGACAATAAATTACTATTTTTTTTACCTTCCCCCATACTTCTTTTGAGATTTATTTTTGTACTACTCTATCCATTAGATTAATAAGAAGTGAAGAAAGTTGTAGTTGATATGACCTCAGCTCATTATTTGCAGAACTCTATGAGACAAACCTATTTTATATGAGGAAGCAGTCAAAATTATGTATATAATACACATTTCATTCAAAGATGAAGAAATGAGTATTATCCCTTAAGTTTAAAGAGAAATTTTAATATTAGAAAAGAAAGCCTATTTTATAAAATAGCTTATTGTTTTGAAAGATTGGTCATGTTCTGATTTGTTCTATCAGCTTGGATTAGCAATTATCTTTTATTTTTAACTTCAGTAGATAAGAGTGTAGCAGTGTTAAGCAAAGAACTGTTAAACTTATTATTTAAAATCTAGTAAAGCATCTTAAAAAATATTTACTATTACAGAAAAAATTCTCAAGCACATGCAAGGTAAGGAATGACTTAAAAATGAAACAAGTTAATTGAAAATGTTCCTTGGGGGAATAAAATTGGCTAATCTCTCCTAAAGTGATAATTGAAAATGTGGTCAATTTTGTGGCCTTCTTGAATTTGAAAACGGTGTACTTGTTTGCTGACCAAAAGAGTCCTAGAACCCTCTGCTGACATAGGTAGATGCCTTGGCCCACGGTCACATTAGTGATTATTATACCAGTGTTTAATGAGGTGAGGATTTAGATGGAGAGCATTAAGTGTTAGGTATGGAAGCCTGATTGTACAGTCATATAGAAAATGTTGAAAATTGGTCATGCATTTGCCTCACTAGAATCTAGCTCTCCAAAGGGTCTTTCTCTTGCTTACTCCTGCAGTAGAGACTCCACACTCATGGGTGCAAGATGAGGTGGCCATTTGGAGTCCTGTCCTAGACCCAGCCTTTAAAATTCATCTTTTTAGAGACAGTGTCCTTTCTAATAAGCACAAAGTCTGCCTGGGGACTAGCAGGTGCCCTAGCCCAGCACAGTTCCTGGCAGCTAATAAGAGCCCCGATATTTATTGAAGGAATAAATATGTGATTTACCTGAAAGTATTTCTCATTAGGTCACATATATTAGGCATTTTTCATAGTTAAAATGTATACTTTATAATATTCTAAATAACATAGCTCTCTTGAGAGATGTAGATTTTTAGGCCACAAACACTTTACTGTATCAAATAAATGTACAACTCAACAGATACTTGTTGAACACCTTCATGTGCCCTGCTGTCTTAGGTGGAAGGAATGAAATGGTAAGCAAACATGGACCATGAAAGGAGAATAGAGTTGAGAGAGGATAGTCAGGTGGCTGTTACTGTGCCCCTGTGGTGAGGGAAGAGCAGAGGTGTGGAGAATGCACAGAGATAGATTCCTGGATGTCCCAGTTGGGGGAGGTTTGGCGTGGGTAGGTTAGGAAGGAAAGATAACATCTGAACTGATTCTTAAGGTTCAGAAATTATCTGAGAACCTGACAAGACAGGGTGGGAGCATTTCATCTTGAGATTGGAGCTCATGGGGGATTCAAGCTAGTTTAAGTTAGTCTCGGTTACTAGAGCAGAAGATGGTAATTCTGGGGGGAAGGGTGGGGTAGCGGGAGAGAGAGGAGATTGGAGCAGGAGAATTAGGAGTGATCAGATCGGGAAGGTCCATGAAAGCTGAGTCTAAATTTAGTGTGTAGGGTTAAATGTTTTGATAGGAAAACCTGCTTTTTTCTGAAATGCAGATGTCTTTAAAGTTTTCTAGGAGAACTGAAAATAAATTGGGTCTTGGCCCTATCAGCAAGAGTCTAGAAAGTTGCCTGACTGGGACCCTTAGGAATTTTCAGCCACTGAAAAGTAGATGAAAGATTAGCAAAGCCAGCCTACTAAGGGTATGCGGGTGGGACTGCAGACGCACCAGGCCCAGGGGAGGAGCACCCTGACCGGCGGAGTGGGGGGACTTCTTGCTCATTCAGGCGAGGAGGATGAGGGCGAAGGTGTTCTGGTTGGGAAAACCCCGAGTAAACAAAGGTACAAAGTCAAGACAGTGCCAAGGTGTTAACACTTGGCAAATTTCTGCTTTCCTTCTAAAAATCTACTTGAGGACTCTACCCCAAGGCACAGCTTGGGGGCTAAAGTAAACAGGTGAACATTAGCTGCTAAAATGGATTTTTTAACATTTATTTTGTATCTCACCGTGACAGTTGGAATATCCTGTTTGTCTCACTTTACCCGTGACCCTTTCTGTGCTTTGGCTTATAGAAGACCCGTCTCTCCTAAAGTTAGCAGTGAGGTAGGTGGGAAGCGGAAATCAGAAGACCAGGAAGGGAGTCCCAGCCCTGCTTGCTGTGGGGAGTAGATTGCTTGCGTTACTTATGGGGTCACGTTAGGGGCTTCATTAAACATATTGCTTCCTTGGAAAACTGTCTGTGAAGGATTTATCTTGTGTTTGGTAATTAAGTCAGTAATAAAACTTTTATGCTTGAAAATCTCAAGTTATATGTTGATTGTGCTTTTTAACTTTATGTAGTTTTAATTCTTAAAATACAGTTTTTCTTTGATTTACTCTTGGTTCTTCAGCTGGGGTTGATATAGAAATATCTGCAAACGTGTGTGTATTCACATATTAAAATGTAATAAAAGTGTGTAAATGTACAGTACAGAGGTTTGTTATGGAGGAGTGTTCAAAATTTATGTGGTTTTAAATTAGGCATGCTCCGGCTATGCTCCTGTTGGAGATGGAGTTCACACTTGTTAGATGTTAGAGGTTCTTTAGTGGAACAGTGTGAGAAGAATGGAGAAGTTATAGGTAGGACACAAATTTGGGGCAGAATTGAGACAGAGTTAGGTCTGGTGGAGGATCCGAACCATTTGTAGGAGTGGGGTGTGTTAAATTCTTGTCTCTCCACCTGTGGCCATACAAACCAGACAGAAGCTTTGTCTTTGGTGCCCGTTTGCACAGTGCAAGAGGGTAGAGGTTAACCATGACATGTTCTTTGTGAGGTTGAATGAGAATATCAGAAGAGCGTGAGAGAAGCACTTGGTATTTAGAATAAAGGCTTTGTTGTGCTAGGTTCTCCAGAGAAGGGCCGTGGGCCACTGTGTGGCAAACTGCAGGGCCAGAGCACCCTTGGTGGTTCTGATAAGTGTGACAGCAGGGCAGTGCCACCTTCTCTGCCGTCTTTCCTTACTGACCACTCATCTCTACTGTCCCTCCAAGTCTTTGTTTGGACTCGGGTGACATGGAATAGAGGAACTGGGGGCTCGTGGGGGATTCCATGCCAGTCCTCTTAAGATAAATCGGCTGGTTTTGTGCTATACCAGTCATGACTGTGATGTGTTTTGAAGTTGTGGAAAAGAAGAAAAAAGGCTTTACCTGTTTTAGTTGAATTTGGACCTAGCTTCTCAAAGACACATCTACTTTGAGGTTGGGAGTCAGTGTGGAAAATACTATTAACCTTTTGTAGAAAGGTTAATTTTTAACCTTTGGCAAAACATATTTTGAGAATCTGGCATAGCTGTTGTTTTTTATTAGTTGAGTGCATTTGGCTGTGAACACACTGCAGAAAAGGGGAGCTGTTTTCCCTCTGAGTGCTGGCTTTATTACAGCATGAGAAAGAGCCATCAGGAGGGTTGTGAGATCATCGTGGAGATCACGCAAGGGGTCTGTGGATGCCCATCGCCTTATAAGATGAAGTACAAAGTCCTGAGTTGGGCTTGAACGAACTTTCCACAGTTTGGCCTTGTTCTGTGGATCTCATGAGTAGTCCTTTGCCATTTCAGGAGCTTGGCATGCGAATCCAGCATCTCTATGCTTACCCTGCTTTCTGGAAATTACCTCTTTCCCTCTGCATTTCCAGTTTCTTACCCAGTGTGGGAGGTGTCTCTTTCGAAGAGGACTTCACTTCTTGAGTTTTTCCCTTCATGCTCTTCTCCCCCTCCACCTCTGTCCCCTGCCATGTCCAGTGGGCTTCCATTGCTTGTGTCTACATGCACCTTACTGTACTTTTGATAATTACATCACAGTGATTCTCTTTCAGGTCTGTCGTCTTAGCTGAATATAAGTTATATGTTAAAAGAGACTGATTTACGCATCTATTTATGCTTAATGAGAGAATATTTGTGTAGCTTTTTAGCAAACTAGAGGGTTAAAGATGATTTGTACTCATGAAATTTGTTCCATTTTTGAAACTTGATTAGCAAATGCTTCTTCCAATATTTGGTAGCCTCTGATTGAAAAACCTGTTAAAAATATTTTGATTGCCTGAAGAGAGAAACCAAATAGTTACTAACTTTTTGTTTTACAAGGGTTTTTGCCATTAAATTCCTAGAGTTGATTCCTTCGGTACATTTAATTAATATAATGGTGAAGAGTTCGGCTTCTGGCTGTCATGGACTAGCTGTGTGGCCTTGGGCAGACTGGGAGTGTTAGTTTCCTCATCTGTAAAACAGAGACCATGTGTGAAGATCAGATAACATGGCAAGTGTAAGCATTTGGTACAATGCCTGCCATTGGGTAAACACTCACTACAGAGGAATGTTATTTTCTGTAAAAGATTGATTTATGTCAAACTCTTGGGTTCATATGCTTTGCAGCAGAGGAAACAAAAGAATACCTATGTAAAGCCTCTGTATTTTGATGCTGCAGCATCTGGGCTCAGCCTTGATTAGTGACATGTCTCCTGTCCT